AAACTGGTATGTTGATGATCCTTATCAGAAATATCACGATCGAACAAACCTGAAAGTATAGATCAGAAGTTTTTAATTGTTACTGAATCTGTATCTTTGTATACATGATGTCTTTGCAAAAATGACATGTAAAAACTTAATGTAAGTTTTACCATCTGATATGTAAAGATAGAGTACAAATGTGCAATTTATGAGAGTTTTAACTGAACAGATTAAACATTCCCATATTTGGTTAAGGAACTAGACGTTTAAAATTGTGCATTATTTTTAACAAATGGTAATGGCTTCACTAGATGTTCCAATTAGGCTTATTTAGAAATCTCAAATAAGGAGAAACATGAAAAGACACAAGTTAGCTCAAACAATGTGACAATGTAGTATTACATATGTGCCTGGGAACTCAGGGACCAGCTCCCCAGGTTTCCTCCCACCCAGAACTCACCCCAGGCCTCAGGAAGAGCAGAATTGGATGGTGCTCCTCAGCAAGAGATCAGAGATCTTTAGGCTCAGATTCTGCCATGATGTGACTCCATTCTCTTACATCATCGACTCTCCTACTCACCAGCCTCTAATTCACAGCTTTTGTTTACATACAGTTTCTGTTCCATCATAACAGGTTTGCCTTACACCTTTGAGGTTCTTTTCTACATCATGACCCACAGCTCCTGTCTCCTCTCTTGAAGCAGCAAGAGTCTAACTGGGCCACCTTCCATTTTTACCCTGGGTGCTACCATCCAGTGTAGGTGTTGGCTGTTCTTAGGTCAGGAACCCACGCTGGCCCACTTTGTTGTGTTAACAGATTTGTGGGCAGCACAAAATAGTTCTGTGAGCAGTTTTGCTTAGAGGTGAGCATGGGCTAGCAACACACTTAGCATCCAGTATACTAATTCACCGTGCTCATGACAATTTTCATTTAGTTGATTGGAGCAAGATTTTTTTATAGAAGAGTAAATGAAATAGTCTTTCAGTATGCCCTTTATTGACACAGAAGAGGCTAAGTGAAGATAGTCAAGTTTTGAAGCTACTGTATTTCTTAAATGTTAGTGTATCTGTTTGAGATTTCCTATTTTCATTTGTAAGGATAGACTTTTTCCAAATTTTCCAAAAATGCGCTGTAGAAACTAAAGGGGAAAAGTAATTTCAGTCATTTTAGAAATGATGCAAGAGTTCAGCATTGTTTATTTGAAGAGAGGCAGTAATACTTATAGTCCAAGGCAGTGGTTCTCAGCTGTCCCATCAGAATCATCTGGGAAAGCAGAAGCACTTTGCCTAGTTGAAAACCATTGCTAAACAGAACTATGAGTGGATTACTGTTTTAAGTTGTTTAATATAATAGTTGGTAGTGGTGAGATGAAGTTCCTCTATTGTTAGTAGAATAGATACCAAATTGAAATTCTATGGCTTACCAAGCCAGAAACATTAGGGAATTCTTGAAAGCAATGTGTGTTCATTAAATGGAGAAGGGGTAGTAATTGAATGTTCTAAAATCAGGGCCAAGTACATGTCTGTTAATGAGACCAACAAATACAGAATGGCATGTGATTTGAGATAAGGTAGGAGCCTGACAGATGGAGTGGCACTCTGTTTTGGTGAGTTTTCCTTTTTTCACACTTCTGCGATGGCAGAAGCCACCACTTCTAAGGCTCTTGCACTTCTCCCTACCTGCCGCTTCTGCTCTCCAGCACACCTCTGGTGGTGGGATGCACTCATGTCTGCAGAAGCTGAGGAGGAGGACACTTTCCCACAAGGTCTCTGTTACAGGGGCCGTAGAGCACCTTGGTTTCTCTTGTAGGCCAGGGACAGACAGGGTAGAGATGAGGGCCGCCAACCAGGGCCTTGGGATTCAGAGATGGGCTGATAGGCACACTTTTGAGGGGAAAGGAACTTTAATGCATACACTTTCTATTTTGTGGGTAGGAGCGCTTGATCATAAAATAGCTTTCATTAAGTTAGAGTACCTGAATGATGTTCAAATATACTATAACTTGGAAACTAGATGGATAGTTTATTTAAGTATATAATTTATCAAATACATACTATGTCCCAGCATATCTACAAAACTGCTAAACCTTATACTAACCTTACAAAGGAGCTATCATTTATCCCTAATTTAAATACCCAAAAGTATAGCTACTAAATCCCAGAATCCCAGTCTAACTCCTTGGAAGCCTATGTATTTCCTTCAGTCTTCTAACAACATATGAAAATGATATATCTAAATCAACAAGTGGCTGTGATCTAGTACTGTATATTTTTCATTTTTATTAGTACATGCTTGCAGCACACAATGATCACACTCATCATGGGGAGTTGGCACATGCACATAGCACATCTTCATTCTTTTTTGTTCCCCTTCGGTAGCACTATATAGATACTAAATACTTCTTAACACTGTACCACTGCAGCTTTTACATTGTATAACTTAGCTTTCCTGGTATTTGTTGACTCAATTTTGTTAATCTCAGCTCTGTTAGCATTGCACCTGGCTCAGTAAATTAAGAAAAATGGATTTCGGATACATATTGAGGCCATACTCTTAAGTGAAATAAATAGGACACACGTGTAAATACCGAATAGTTTCTCTGGTGTGAGAAACTGAAAGTGTAAATAAGGAT